AAAGAAGGAAGAGAAAGAATCAAAGATTCTATGAAAAGGAAAAAAAAAAAGAAAAAACTCCTTTCCTGTAGCCCTGCGCCCTCCTCGGCCCGGAGCGCCACGGGACCCCGCTTCGAGACGAAAGCGCTGGGAGACTCCCCCGAGATCCCGTGGGGCGCCGGGCTTTTCCCCGGGCGGAGCGGAGGTGGGGGGCAAAAGGGGAGGGAGCCGGGAGTGGGGTCTCCCTCTGCTTCTCCCGGCCACCTCCCGACCCAGTGTCTGCGCTTCCTAAGTAAAATCCAAGTTGCTGGGTTGGCCCAGGCCGAGAGCACCGCGAAGCTCCCCGCTCCGTGGTAGTGACTTGCTCCCAGTTCCCTTGGGTTCGGTGGACGGCGGGCGCTCGTCTCCCTGGGCCGTGGCCAGCCCCGCCTCCGTCAGCCTGGGCGAACCGAGGGCTGGGGACTTGGGCAGAGCACGGAATCCGAATCCTGGCTTCTTGCGTGCTCCTGGCCCTCCTTCCCCGTCTTGCCTGAGTTTGTTCTCATTCACAGAATCAATGACTAAGCCCTCAGGAGCGAGCTTCTACCCAGCAGGGCAATGTTCCCTGACCAGGTCCTGGGAGGTTCCTGCGAGCACACCGCGTGTAGCCCAGTGAAAGGTGGAAGCAGGATCAGAAAAACAAATAGAAGCCTTATGATGGCCACTGTGGGCAAATGCTGAGGGAACAAAACAGGGTGTCATGCTAGACGTGGGAGCTTCTTTATATGGACCTGTCATCCTCAGAAGGCCTCATGGCGGAGGTGACATTTTAAGGGGCGGCCTCAATGACAAGCTGGATCAGGGATGTGAATGTCCAGAAGAGCCCTCCTGGAGGCCAGAGGACAAGCACAGGGTGAGTGAGGTGTCCCTTGAGCTTATGGAACAGCAGAGGAAAGTGGGGCCACAGAGCATCTGGGCTGGATCTTGTAAACCACAAGCAGGAGACTTGAGGGTCCTGCAGTTGGGCCTAATTCTCCCTCCCTCCCATCATGGTACCCAGGTGGTTAGAGAAACCCTCCATTCCTGCAGCACAGGGATGCCTTTACTTCCCACCCTCTCCCCTTCTGTTTGAAGCCTGGGCAGAGGGGAGGGCCGTGAGCAGGGCTAAGCCAAGAATCTATCCTAGCACATAAGAAAGGAGTGGTCAGAGGGCCTGGATTTGCCTGGAGAAGTTGGCCAAGGAGGGTAAAAGAGAGAAGGGAAGGAGAGGGGAGGGAGGAGGGAAGAGGAGATGGGGAGGGAAGGGGAAAGTGTAAGTGTGTGGGGTGGGGAGAAGTGTCAGAGGGGAGAAACTCAGCAAGTTCGGAACCAAGAAAGGGGGAGTTTCTAGAAGGGAGCTAGCCCAGCTGGTGTGGCTCAGTGGTTGAGCATCAAACTATGAACCAGGAGGTCATGGTTGGATTCCTGGTCAGGGCACATGCCCGGGTTGCAGGCTCAATCCCCAGTGTGGGGTGTGCAGGAGGCAGCCGATCAATGATTCTCTCTCATCGCTGATGTTTCTCTCACCTACTACTCTCCCTTCCTCTCTGGAGTCAATAAAAAATAAAATTTTAAAAAAGAAGGAAGTTAAACTATACTACAAGGCTAAAATCATTAAAACGAGGTCATATTTTTTTAAAATATATTTTATTGATTTTTCACAGGAAGGGAGAGGGATAGAGAGTTAGAAACATCGATCAGCTGCCTCCTGCACACCTCCTACTGGGGATGTGCCCGCAACCAAAGTACATGCCCTTGGCCGGAATCGAACCTGGGACCTTTCAGTCCCCAGGCCGACGCTCTATCCACTGAGCCAAACCCGTTAGGGCGAAAAACGGGGTCATATTGGCCCCAAAATAAATTGCTTGATGCAACAGAAGATCTTACCCAGAAAGTGTCTGAGAACTTAATAAAATAAGGAGAGTCATAACAACCCGATGGAGAAAGGTTATCCATTGGTCAGCGGGCTGCTTCGTGGATTTTGGGAGGATTACAGGCAATAAACAGCACGATGCTCCACATGCAGTAGGACCCTATAAATGTTTCTGAATAGAGTAGTGGCCCAGTGCACGAATTCATGCACATTGAAAGGAAATTAATTAGATGAAATATTTTAATATTGCTATTCACCCTTTCTCTATAATAGAAGTGTCAACCAAATTCATGATCGACAATGACAGACTGAAACACGGCGTGTGACTGGCACCAGTGAGAGCTTTATATGTATTAGGCATGCACGAGTCAACTTAGCCTTTTATAGATATAGAATAAACTTGCTTAATTAGACCTGCTTTCTGATTTAGCTAAACTTTTTCCAGCCCAGTGAAGCACTCCAACTTCTCTTTCAGGTAATTGTCAGCAACACAGCAGTAAATATCAACACGAAGCAGATTATTATTGTAGATCACACAGGGAGAACAAAGGGTGAAATATTTAACTATAGCAGTGTTTGACTATATTCTGTGCAGTGTGAAAACCTGAAGTGATTTTCAAGGTCCACCATTTCTTACTTCTTTTCAGTCAGGTCAAGTTTCTAAACTTTCTAAATCTGTTTCCGGCTAATGAAAAGAAAATGGGATTCCACTGAGTCTCCTATCTACCTACTCCAGGACTTCTGTGAGGATCAAATGAGATTAGACACGGGAAAACGCTTCACAGACATTTGGTTAAAGTGTGAAATGTTTCCACCTGGCTATAAAGCAAGTGGTGTTCCTGGGCTGAAGAAACTGCAAGGAGGCTAGTTGTCACTAGGGAGAGAAAGCCGGGTGTTGATACGTAATGTCATTACCCGGCGCCCACAGCCACAGTTTCTGAGCTGGGCTGGGCTGTGGGCCGCATTTTGCGCCACGGGGTCTCTGTAGCGTTGGCTGCGATTTGGTGGGCCATTGTTCTGCGGTGGAGGCGGGGCCTGTGTCCCACTTGGGGGAAGCCGAGTATTACTTTGTGGGCGCCAGGTCCGCAGTACCATTTCTCTGTAAATGGCCAGTGCACATCATGGCAGCTCCTGCGTTGAGCATCTGCCCCCTGGTGATCAGTATGCAGCATAGCGACCAGTTGGACGGTTGGACACTTAGCATATTAGCCTTTTATATATATAGATTATCGTTCAGCAATGAGCTGGAGCATAGTCAGAGCAAACTCCAGAAGAGAGCAAAAGCCCAGAGAAAGGGAATCACGTGAGTTTGAAAAGCTCCCAATGGAAGCTGGGCACCCCAATGCATGCCCCTGAACTTTAGTTAGTCTTCCACCCCCAAGACACCAACACACACATGTGCTTTCTGTCCCAGCCCAATCCCAGCTCCCTAGGAAGCAAGTCTGCCCTTCATATGTGAGCTCCTTTTCCAAAGACACCCTTTCCCCTCCACCCACTCCTGGTTTACTTATTCAGTAGATTTATCATTCTGTTCACTTGTTCCTATTTCCCCACTAAACCAGAGCAGGGACGCGGCAGCCTCTCCCTGCAGCCTAGAAGGATGCCTGGCACATAGTAGGCTTTCAGGACCCATCACAGCATGAACAAAGGAAGAAGAAATGAATGCAGGATGTAAAACCCCCAGAACATTGCCTGGTGCACAGGAAACATCCACTTTATGTTTGTGTATGAGATTTTTGTTGTGGTGAAAGTCTTTATTCTTAGGGAGTTTTGTAATCCTTGCAACTTCAGGAACATGGTGACAAAAACATTCTGACAGAACTTAAAAAGCCTCACTAGGTAAGCATCAGAGACTAGTAGTCAAGGACCATGTAGAAAGATGGGCGAATTCATTACTGTGCAATGAATCAGAAGCTCAGCTTTCCAGAATGGCAGTGTGGCCCCTTGGGCACATGATGAGGCTTCAATTTTGACAAGAGCCACCAACTGTCAAATATGAATGTTTTAAGATCAAGTGCAGGGGCTGTTTTCATGCCTCCCATAAAGTGTGAGGTAAAGTCAGTATCAAATTCATAGCCCTGACTCAGTAAAATCCAGTGATAGGGGAACTGCCAGGGTTGTTTGCAAGCTGATTTGCTTCAGTGGTTTTATAAACCAATAGAGAGAGTTGTTCAGACGGGGGTTTGGAGTTGTCATGACAAGCTGGTACACTCTGAGTGCCATTTGGTGGACTATGATATCACAGCACTCTAGAGAAAGGAAATCAAATGCCCTGTGTCCCATGGGAAGGAGCCTTTCATGAGGTCTAAAGTCCCTGAGAGCAATATAAGTCTTTGTTTTACTATGGTTGCAGATATAAAAAAAATTTCTATATGTGACACGGCACCAGAGTTAAGTTAGGGTTTTCCAAAATGCTGACACGCCGAGCTCAAAAGGTTCGCCATCACTGACCTAGATCCAAGACTGCCTCCCCTGCCCATGGTGCTTCCACCAACATCACTGTCTATGGACTTAAAATGCCTTCTTCACCATCACAGAATTCCGAAAAAATTGATTTCTGATCAAACAGGGGATGTGCCCCTGGTTAGACACCCACCTCTGGGAGGAGCCAGGGAGGCAGGTCTTGGCTGCTAAGGAGATGGCCTTGGTTCTTTCAGAGGAGACCGGACAGGTTCCCATTTGGGTCTTGCAATAATCTAGGCCAA